TTAGCTAAGCTGTGTTGTGGTAGGGAAGTGGGGAAGGGGATGTGGTAACCCAAACCACTTCCTGCCATTACTGTGTTGAAAACCAAGCTCTTCTCAAGTTCCCCCTGATGGAGGTGGAGAAGTATCAGAGACCAAAGGGGGAAGTTGGGTGGTTGGGAAAGGGCTATGAGTTGGACTGACCCCAGGAATAGAGCCTGGTCAGTTTGTCAAATCAAGGTTGGTCAAAGGGCCAGCTGGCACAGAAGGAATTATAACTAGATAATTCACTCATTGTCTTCGGTTTGGAATCAAGTCACAACTGACCAGGAAGCTGTGGTGGCCTCGTGTTTAAATAGTTGGGTTGCCAACCCAAAGGCATATGGTTCGAGTCCATTAACTGCTCTGTGGGGGGAAAATGGGCAACCTTCCCATATGATTGATTATAGTCTCTGAGAAACCGCTGTAGGGTCAGCTATGAATCGGTTCTGATTTGACAGCAATGAGTTGAGAAGCAGCTCAGAAGACAGGCCTGGAGATCTACTTCCAAATAGTCGGGGATTGAAAACCCGGTGGAGTCAAGTTCTCCTGACACGTATGGAGTTGCTGTGAGTTGGATGCAATGGCAGCTACCTCTTGGATGATGGTGAGGAGACAATGAGGCACTTGTACTTCTAAAGAAATGGTAATTCAGCTTTATTATTATAACTTAAAAGGGAAGAGGACTTTGTCCCAGGTCACACAGCTCGAAAGTGGCAAAGCTGGGATTGAACACTTGGACTGCAAAGCAGATGCTTAAAAATTAGTGAACTTCAATTGTCTCCATCCTATAAACTCCTTAAGAGATAAAGTCTGCAGAGTGACTAGCATGTAGCAAACCCTTTAAATATAATATTGTTAAATTGTCATCATTGTTCTTCTCAAATAAGGCAAATGTAGACCTTGCCCCATGTCTAAGGAGCCCTGGTGGCACAGCAGATTGACCTTTAGTCTCCCAACCAAAAGGTCCGGTGGTTTGAATCCACAGGAACAGGAGGATACAATCTGCTTCTGTTAAGATTTACAGCCCGGGCAACCTTATCGAATAGCTTATACACTGTTGATGTGAGTTGAAATAGACTCAATGCTAATGGATTGGTCTTGGCCTCTGTGGTGTTAAGGATATATTGTTCCAAAGGCTTCCCTGGCCATTGACTGACTTTGCAATGTGGATGGGTGGGAATACGTGAATAGCACACAGAAGCTTATTATTCCACAAGAGGATTGGCTAATCTCTCCATTAAATTGAGTGGATCCAGCAGCAGACTAGACGAACCTGACCACCAGCAAAAAAGAAGCAAGAGAATATCACCTTTGGGAGGTCAGAGATTCATGGGCCAGCCAGTCCAGGGCCTACAGGAGCAGCAGAGAACCAGAGACCTGACACGAGGTGGCGTGGACCCTGTGACTGCTATGCCGTGGAAGCAGAGCTAAGAGCCTTTTGCCCAGGTTTGTTGAAGGACTGGGAGTTGGGGTGGGTGGGAAGGAGAGCCGTAATTGGCAGGACTAAGAGTCTAGAGCCATGAGCCTGACGGTGCCTGTGAGCACATTTCAGAAACCACCCTGAGTGATTGTATTCTGCTACTAACCCTTTTGACTTCCCTAATACAGTTCTGTGAGCTCTTGCAAGAGATTTTGGACCCAGTAAAGCAGTAAGATTGGTGTTGGGATGAGTAGAAAGAGGGGCAGGAGCATAGGGAACATGTCTGACCTCATGGGAATTGGTTTTGTGTTGTTGTGGGGAATAGCTCCCTTTTGTGGAGGAGGTAAAGGTCAGATATGACTGTCCCCATGTGGCCTTTTACTCTTTTATCTCATACTTGATCCCACTCAGCCCTTGCTCTTTTTACAGCCTCATCCTGGAAGAAGTAATGGAAAAGAGGTTGGTAGTTACTGGCAACTTCAAGTTCAACAGAGTAGAACTGCCCCATCGGATTTGTGAGCCTGTAACAGTCATGTGATTATACAGTAACTGCGACAATGGGTTTGAGCATGGTGGAGATCATACGGAAAGCACAGGGAAGAGCAAGGTTCGTATCATCACGAGGAATTGTAGTCAGCTTGATAGCACCTAACACCACCACCACTGTGGGCAGACCACCAGGTCTTTTCTCCCGTGGAGCCTCTGGGTGAGTTCTGTTGCAAACCGGACGCAGAAAGAAAGCAGGGACAAGAGGAAATGAGTTCTGAAAAAGAGGGAAGGCTGAGGCAGTGGTCCTCGCACAGCTTAGCACTGTGAAAAGTCCCCTTTCTTAGTCTCCCTATGGTTTTTATTTAGTTTAGGCCAATCATCCTCAAAAATGTTCACTCTCCGGAGACTATATTTTCCTTAAACTTAAGTGTTGCCGACATAACAATGGGTAAGCTTAATCTTTAAACTAAGACCAAAGTTCAGATATGTCATCCCCTCCGGTAGGAGGCTGGGTAGAATTCTCTGTTTGCAGAGGGTGCTCAGTCCTGTCTGGACTCTGATCTCAGCTGTGGTCACTATGCCAGGCAATCCATTGAGTTCAATCTACTGACATTTTGGGTAAATACCAACTGCTTGACCACTACGCCACCAGGGCTCCTGCTAATGGCATAAGTGATGAAACCTAGAGCTGGGGTAGGATAGAAGGATTGAAAGGGCACCTCGTGATCTTCCCATTCTTTCATTTTTCAGCTGAAGAGCCTGAAGTGCAGAAGGGAAAGGTCTTATTCCAGATCGCACAGCCCGACTAGAGCCAGGCCAAGGACCCAGGTCTCTTAATCCCTGGCTGCAATCATGGTCTTGACATAGATAATGAAAAGCCAATCACAAAGGCTTCCAACACGCCCTACACTAAACATTTTCTGTTTGCTTTCATGTTATCCTCACACCATTTGGGGATACTCAGACTCTCATTGCTGTTGACTCTGAACCAACTCATAGCTGACCCTCCATTGGGTTTTCAAGGGAGGAGATTGTCTTACACCCAAGGAGTGGTTGGCAGATTCCAGCCACTAGAAGCACCACTTTGGGGTCATCAGTGTAATTCTACATGGACTCTGCCAACAGAGTTCCCTATCTAGGGAACAAAGAGTCCTTTTTATAGCTGAGGAGACACGTTGAGAGTTGTGAAGACAGATGCTTGAAGCACTGGAGGAAGAATGAGAAGCCATGTGTACTGACTTCCAGATCCCACAAACTCTCCCATGTGCTGCCCTCAAGCATCCAGCCCGTCTAAGATAGGGGTTGCCTCTATGAAAAACAGTTTGGCACTCCCTTAGAAAATTGAGACTAGAAATGCCATTTGATCCAGCAATCTCACTACTAGGTTTGTATCCCAAAGATAGAAGAGCTGCCATGCAAACAGTGATATGCACATCCATGTTCATTCCAGCATTATCTACAACAGCAGAGAAATGAAAACAACCCAAGTTTTCATCAGTGGATAAATAGATGAATAAATTACGGTACAGTCATATACTGGAGTACTATGCAACACTGAAAAACAATAACAAATTAATGAAACACCGCATACTGTGGATGCATCTGGACATCAGGATGTGCGAAGTAAGTCATCCACTATTATGGTGTAAGCCCATTATTGAGGAAATCATTCAAAAAAATGGACTCAGAAGAAGACTGTGACATCAAGATAGGAGGGAGGAAGACTATTCAACAACTTGCATTATGCAGATGACACGATCTTGCTTGCTGAAAGTGAGAAGGAGCTGAAATGCTTGCTGTAGAAAATCAGACTTCAATATGGGTTACATCTCAACATCAAGAAGACACAAATCCTTACCATTGGGCTGATAAGCAATGTCATGATAGATGGTAAAGATTGAAATGGTCAGTGATTTTTGTCTTATTGAGATCCACAATCAATATCCTTGGCATCAGCAGTCAAGAAATCAAGACATGTTGCAATGGCCAAGTCTGCTGTCAGGAACTTTTCTAAATTACAGTGATATCAATTACATTTACAATGAGCAATGACATCAGTTTGAAGATGAAAGTGCACATGATTTAGGCCGTGGTCTTTTCAGTCACTTGCTATGCAACTGAGAGCTGGACAATGAATAAAGATGAAAGAATAAGAATAAATGCTTTTGAGAAGAGTAACACATATCCCATGGACTGCCTAAAGAACAAGCAGTTCTGTCTTGAAGAAGGTGAAGCCAGAGCACTCCTTGGAGGCAAGGATTGTAAAGCTTTGTCTCACATACTTTGGGCATGTTATTAGGAGGAGAAGGCTATTGCTTGGAAAGGTAGATGGTCAGCAAAAGAAAAGACCTTCAACATCTTCAGAGACGCACGGACACAGTGACTGCAGCAATGACTGTGAGTATGTCAGAGATGATGAGGATGGCACAGGTTAGGGCAGGGTTCACATCTGTTGTTCACAGGGTTGCTGATTTGTACTTGACTCAGTAGCACATAACAACCACAGGGAAAGGTTTACACAGCCATTCTTGTATGGTTACCAGGGATGGGAAGGGAAGGAGAGGGGAGTAAAAAGAAATAGGTAAGTTGGGTGAAGGGGAATATATTAAACATAAATATATTAAGGTGTAGATCAGGTATTATAATTAATTAATGAACCAAATGTTAGTTACAAGCCATGAATACAAAGTGTGCATAATTGAATGAAATTGTAATTACAATATTAGAAAATGTATGAAAAATAAAAATGATTTCTAAATTTACACACACACAGAGCTAAAAATAAAGAGATTTAAAAGACATAACAACAAAAGACAGGGGATTCCCTAGGGGAATTTCCCCATTCCTGTGGATGGTGTGTGAGTGTGTGTGTGTGTGTGTATAAAGTTTCTGATAAGGTCTGCAGTTTGCAAAACGCTTACCACTTGTCTGTGGTTTTAGAGCTCCTGCCCTCCAGGGAGGAGTGGAGTCCACCCCTGCCTGTTGGGGAGGGGTGGAGTCACTGATTTAATTAGCTGTGGCCCTTTAAAGCCCTCAGTCACCAGTTGCCACAGTCTGACACTCTTCTGTCACCATGAGCCCCTGGTGGCCCCTGGTCCTGACACTCCTGGTGCTGGGCTGCTGCTCCGCTGCCCCCAGACCCCAGCAGCCCACGGTCGTGGTCTTCCCGGGAGATTTTCAATCCACTCTTAGCAACCAGCAGCTGTTAGAGGTAGGCAGACAAGCTGGTCCAGAGTTGGGGAGGGCTGGCTAGGAAGATGCTGAGTGTCACCAGGGAGGGCTTGTTGCCTCAGAGGAGAACAGGGGTGCAGGGACAGGTACTGGGGAGAGGGTCCTGTGCAGACAGTGATGGCTAAAGGAGATTTCTATTGGCCAGTGAGGATGGCCAGGGTGGGCGAAAGGATTGGAGGATTCTAGGGTGGGCATGGGTTGGGGTTTCTAGAGTGGGTATTGAAAGGGCGAGCATGGGCAAGGGATGAACACTGAGGAGTCCAAGAAAGGGCCAGCAGCCTCCGAGAGCGGGAAGGTTACTAGTGTATCCAGAATACCAAGTTCTGAGCACAATTCCTTATTGCTGGACCTGAGCACCTGAACAGGTGGAGTGGTAGCTCAGTAGAGTGGACAAAGGGACCCTCTGGGATGTCTTTGGCATGCTCAGCTGCCTGTCATGGACCCTCCTCACTCTCAGGACTACCTGTTCCGCTATGGCTACACCCGAGTGGGCGAGATGCGCCAGGACGAACAGTCCCTGGGTCCAGCGATAAAGCGTCTCCAGAAACGGCTGAGCCTGCCTGAGACCGGCCAGCTAGACAGCATCACTCTGGAGACCATTCGAGCACCGCGATGTGGAGTCCCTGATATAGGGGGCTTCCAGACCTTTCCAGGGCAGGTGAAATGGCAGCATCGCAACATCACATACTGGTGCGACAGTGTGCCCTACGCGAGGCGGGGAGGCCATCCCCGAGGGAAGGCGGGGAACTCTTCCTCTTAGACAAGCCGTGGGTTTTACTATTTAACACCCACCCAGGGCAGTGGCAGCAGCTGCCCTCGCCTGGGCCTCACGCCTTCCTCTCCCCTCTCCATCCTCCTTGCCCTGCAGGATCCAAAACTACTCGGAAGACTTGCCCCGCGATGTGGTCGACGACGCTTTTGCCAGAGCCTTCGCGGTGTGGAGCGAGGTGACACCGCTCACCTTCACCCGCGTGTACCTAAAGGACTGGAGGGACACGAAGGACGTGGACATCGTCATCCGGTTTGGTTATCAGGGTGAGGACCTAAGGCGCACGCTGGTGGGATCCTCACAGGACAGAGAGGGAAGGCGGGCTAAGGAGAGTGGAGGGGGCAGGGATCCGGATCTGCCCCTCCTGCTGGTCCCCCTACTCCGGGCCCTGAACCCCCAGCCCGCTGACTCCCTTCCTTCCTGTGCACCCGCTTCTCCAGAGCATGGAGACGGCTTTCCTTTCGATGGGAAGGACGGGCTCCTGGCACACGCCTTCGCCCCGGGGGACGGCATTCAGGGCGACGCCCACTTCGATGAAGATGAGCTGTGGACACTGGGCGAGGGCGTGGGTGAGATCCTGAGCCGCTCTGAGCCCCCGTTCTCCCCTCGAGTGCCCCTATTCCCTTCCAGCCCCCTTTCTCCCCTCGAGTCCCCTTTCTCCCCTCGAGCCCCCATCTCCCCTCGACCACCCTTCTCCCCTTCTCCCCATGCATCCAGCACCAGCCGCCCTCACCCCGTCTTCTCCCCTCCCCCGCCCCCGCAGTGGTCGGCACCCGCTTTGGAAACGCGGACGGCGCCCCCTGCCACTTCCCCTTCACCTTCGAGGGCCGCTCGTACACAGCCTGCACCACGGACGGCCGCTCGGACGGCATGGCCTGGTGCAGCACCACGGCCGACTACGACAGCGACGGCCAGTTCGGCTTCTGCCCCAGTGAGAGTGAGTGCGGGGCGGAGGCGAGACGTGGAGGCGGGGGGAGGCGCTCACCGCCTCCACGGGGTCAGCACCCTCGAACCCTCGCTCTGTCACTAGTGCCTTGTTCTCTGAGCCCTGCGTCCTCATCAGCGAAGGCAGGGGAGGGCGGGCTTACAGGTCTGCGGGTCAGTGAATGAACTCGTGGCACCTTGGGGTGACGTTGCTGTGGGGGCCCCGCAGAACTCTATACCGAGCACGGCAACTCGGACGGCAAGCCCTGCGTGTTCCCCTTCATCTTCGAGGGCCGCTCCTACTCGGCCTGCACCACCGATGGCCGCTCGGACAACTACCGCTGGTGCGCGACCACGGCCAACTACGACCAGGACAAGCTCTATGGCTTCTGCCCGTCCAGAGGTAGCGCCTCTCCAGCTCCCAGACTCCGCCCACTCCCTGGCCTCTCATTGGTCCCTGAAACGCGCTTCCTCCCGCCTCCGCTTATTTCGCTACACCTCATTGGGCCTGAGGCCCAGCTCCGCCCACAGTCACAACTCTGCCCCGATTTCTAATTGCCCGGTCCCTTTCACAACAGCTTGACCTTGAAATTCATGCTTGGGCTCTACAGTGGCTCCTGCCCCCAGAGTCGGCCCGCCTCAGTTATCTGCGAGTCCCCAAACACGTCCTCAGCTCAGACAACTCAAATGCTTACCTTGCAGTTGGAATCCTCTCATAGCTGACCAGGTTTTCAGAGGCTGTAAACCACACAGGAGGAGATTGCGGTCTTTCCCAGATCAGCTGATGCATTCTAATTGAACGCCCTTTAATTGGCAGTGCAGCTTCCTGCTGACTAGGCCACCAGAGCTCCAATTCTGGTAATGGTAAAAAGCAATCCCAAAGACACTGGTTCACTGCTCCTGAAAACGCTCTGCAGAGTCAACTATGTGTGGGTTCCGACTGGATGGCACTCAAGAACTACAAGTAGCTCTAGCTCCTTTCCTGACCTGACCCTGGCTCCCAATGGATTGGCTCACCCAAGGCCTTGGGGGTCTCTCTCTCCAGTTGATGCAACAGTGACTGGGGGCAACTCTCCGGGGGAGCTGTGTGTCTTCCCCTTCGTCTTCCTGGGCAAGGAGTACTCGTCCTGTACCAGCGAGGGCCGCAGAGATGGGCGTTTCTGGTGTGCCACCACCTCAAACTTCGACAAAGACAAGAAGTGGGGCTTCTGCCCAGACCAAGGTGGGCGTGGCTCCGAGGCTCCTGGACTGGGGGTGAGGCTGTGGTCAGGGGCTCTGGCGCTCAGATCTCGGGCTCCCTCTACCCTCCAGGTTATAGCCTGTTCCTCGTGGCAGCGCACGAGTTCGGTCACGCGCTGGGCTTAGAACATTCATCGGTGCCGGAGGCACTAATGTACCCCAAGTACCGCTTCTTGGAGGGGAATCCGCTGCATGCGGACGACGTGGCCGGCATCCAGTATCTTTATGGTGAGGCTATGGAGCATGGGTGCAGGGAGGGAGAAAGAAGGGTGCTGCTGGGCCATTAACACTAGGGAATGAAACCCCAACATCTGATGGAGAGCTGGGATTCAGACCCTGTCTGTCAGTGCTTGGAGATGGCAATTAGCAGCCTAGACTCCAGGATTAGATGGACGTGAGTTCACAAGCCAGTCCAACCACTTCCTGGTTAGGTGACCTGTTACTTCACCTTTCAGTGCTTCAGTTTCCTCCTCTGTGAAATGTGGTCACTAATAGAACTTGCTCCTGGGCTTGTTAGGAGGCTCTGAATGAGTTAGAAAAATGCTTATCGCACAATAAGCACCATGTGTGTTTCTATTGTTATCATTTGCCATTATTATTATTTCCTGATTTTCAAGATGAGGCTATTAAAGTCCCAGATTTCATGGAGTTTCTGTAAGTGAAGATCCCCCAGTGTGATTTGGGACTTGTGTCTGTCTCATGTCTCCTGACACAGCCCTGGGAGGCATAAATATGGACAAATGAAAGGAAAGAGTGTGAGTGGTAGTGACACACCCGTGGCTGGGGAGAGGCAGGTGCTAACATGAAAGGTGGAGGGTGTGGGGCAGATAGAGGACCACTGACGGCCTTCCAGAAGCTTCTGTGGGCACAAGGATGAAGGGAAACAGAGGTGTCTCATGCAGTCTCTCTCTTTTAGGTCCTCGCCCGCAACCTGACCCACGACCTCCAACAACCACTACAGCTAAACCCCAACCCACCGCTCCCCCAACAGTCTGCCCCACAGGACCCCCAACTGTTCGCCCCTCAGAACGCCCCACTCCCGGTCCCACTGGCGCCCCTTCACCTGGCCCCACGGGCCCCCCTTCACCTACTCCTACGATACCCCCTACTGCTGGCCCATCTGCAGCCCCCACAGAGCCTCTGAATCCCGCGGATGATGCCTGCAATGTGGACATCTTTGACGCCATTGCAGAGATCAAGAACCAACTGCACCTCTTCAAGGATGGGTGAGGGGCCAGGGGGTCGGGGAGGTGAGGGGCTTGGAGAGGGCACCTTCCTCCTCTGGCTCACTGTCTGCCTCTCTCGGTTCACGTTCCCAGGAGGTACTGGCAATTCTCTGAGAAGAGGGGCCGTCAGCTGAAGGGCCCTTTTCTTATCTCGGACACGTGGCCCGAGCTCCCTCAAAAGCTGGACTCTGCTTTTGAGGACCCGCTTACCAAGAAGCTTTTCTTCTTCTCTGGTCAGTTTTCTCTTCACCTCCCCTGTCCTCACGTCTCACCACAAGGAGGATGGAGAAGTAGAGGGTTAGACAGTAAAACATCTTCATGCTCAAGTTTATTACCAAATCCCAGTTGCTGTCAAATCAGGTCCGATTCACAGAGGCCTCCTCTGGTGTCAAAGTGGAAGGACACACCATAGACTGTGGTATTTGGAAACAGTTTGCCAAGCCTTTCCTCCGTGGTGTCCTCCGTGGTTAGACTCAAGTCAATGGATTTGGACCAGGGTGACCCTATAGGGCCAGAATAGGATAACCTCATAAGATTCCTAAAGCTGTGAATCTTTGCACAAACTGAGTGCCTCATCCTCCCCTCCCCTCATCCTTGTGGGCTTGAACCGCCACTTTTTTAGTTAGCAGTCGCATGCTTTAATCATTGTACCAGCAGAGCTCTACAGAGATTTGAGGGGACTGAATTCCAGCCTTCCCGCACCACAGACTTGCAGTCTTGAAGCTCTGCCCCTTTGGGACCCAGAGTACAGGCACCAGGGTCTGGGAAAGGTTTCCTTGGGTTCTATCCTTCTCACCTTTGAGGAGAATGTGGACCCCCCCCTTCCAAGTCCCCAGACAGATGAGACCTTTTTCTCCTGCAGGGCGACAGGTGTGGGTGTACACAGGTGCATCGGCGCTGGGCCCGAGACGCCTGGACAAGCTGGGCCTGAGCCGCGACGTGGCCCGTGTCACCGGGGCCGTCCCGCGCGGCGGGGGGAAGGCCCTGCTGTTCAGCCAGGAGCACTTCTGGAGGTGAGAGCGGCGGCGGCCGGCAGGGGGAGCCCTGGCGCTGTCACCTGCCCGCAGGCTCACACCTGTCTGCCCGCTGCAGGTTAGACGTGAAGACGCAGAAGGTAGATCCCAGGAGCGTCGGCCGAGTGGACTTGAGGTTCCCCGGAGTGCCCTTGGACATGCACGACATCTTCCAGTACCGAGGTGAGGGTGTGATCTGGAGACAAGAGAGGGTCCCTTCTGTTAGACCGAGGCCAACAGTCCAGCGTGGGGTGACTTTCAGCCACAGAGACCCTCCCTACCCTGATAAAACAAGAACTGAGGGACACAGCCAGGACCAAAATTTCCTGCCTCTCCTGCTGGAGACTCTCCTCTTTCCCTTTATAGGACACACAGTTTGCCTGGAGGCCCCCTGCTTTATTAAACAGTGATTACCAAGTGCCTATGATGTGGTGGGCATGGTGCTGCCACCGGGGGTGGGGGGTGGGGCACATGAATGAAGAAGACAGTCCATTGCTGTGTGCCTTTGGGCAAGTCCCTGCCACTCTCTGAGTCTCTGTTTCCCACTCCCAGGAAGATATTTGGAGTTTTCTCTTCTTCTCTCACTGTTTACATTAATCAGCTGACCAAAATATTGTTTTACTTTAACAAAGTATTTTTTGATCTGTCAAATTTCACCCTCTCTTTCACTTACACCCTGTCCAAGCCATACACTGGCTGTCTAGCATCTTTCACACATTTCCTGGGAGTAGGGGTGGATTAGGACTGGAAGGCAGTGGTCTTGGGGGTGACCTCAGACTTATTCCAAGGTCAAAGGATCCAACATGCTGTGACTGCAGCCTTCATCTTCATCACCTCCCAATACTCCTGTCATTGATTCTGCTCCACCCACTCCCACCTCCTGGCAGCTCTTTGTACCTAACAAGGTCATTCCCAGCTTGGAGTCTTTGCACCAATTAATTGCACTGTCAGTTTCTAAGGCTCATCTCCCAGATTGTCACCTGGCCGTCTCCCACTCATCCTTCAGGTATCAGTGCTAAGGCCACTTTTTCTGAGAGACCATCTCTGACTTGAATCAATATTTCTCTTCTTCCCTTCCACTTCCCTCCATTAGCTTTTTACATAGTCAAACCGAGTATCATTGGTTTACTTAATTGCTTGGTTTTCTCAAGTGTCTTGCCTTACTTACTCGAGTGAGCTCTGGTGGCTTAGTGGTAAGGAGTTGCACTGCTAACCCACAGACACACAGTTCGAATCTCCCAGCCACTCTGTGAGAGAAAGGTGGGCAATCTCCTTTGCATTAAGTGCCTCTGAAAACTCACTGGAGGGTCAGCTATGATGGCACATGATAATTAGTGCCGGAGTGTAGGCCTGTGCGTTTGTTGACTACAGTTCCAGTGCTTCAAACGGTGCTTTGCACAGAGGCCTCCAATGACTGACTATCAGTTGAATAAATGAATTGAGTTTGTTGATCGAATGAGCACATTTTGTGTGCATTGTGCTGGGAATTGAAATAAGTTAGCCATTCATTTTGCTTCTAGTTCATTCACAGAATATCTGCCCAGTGCCTTCTGGGTACCAGGCTCTGTGCTAGTGTTTTGGATCTAGAGGTCTGTGCAGATTGGAAAGATCTGGAAAAGGCAGGAAGGATGAACAAGAAGATCTTGTTCCCGTTTCCAGATGTGGGAGGGTCAGGATCACCCTTTTCACACCCGCCTCTCTCTCACAGGGAAAGTCTACTTCTGCCAGGACCGCTTCTTCTGGCGTGTGAGTTCCCTGAATGAAGGGAACCAGGTGGACCAAGTGGGCTACGTGACCATTGACATCCTGCAGTGCCCGGAGACCTAGGGCTCTCCGTCATGCTCCGTCAGTGTGGGAAGGGTCCCCCACAGAAGAACCCAGTTTGCTGGATACAGACTGGTGGGTCTGTCCTAGGGGAGCGGAAGGAGCAGCGATGGGCTGGCCCCCTCTTCGCACCTTCCTTTTTCTCTTGGAATGTTTTTAATAAACTTGCATTGTCTAGCTTCTCTAGGAGAAGCGAATTTGTATGTCTGTGGCTGTGGATTTACTTCATGGATAAAGTGCTTACTGGATATCAGGCATCATTCTGAGCATTTCCTAAGTATTTGCAAGTTTCATCCTTAAGGAGCCCTGGTGGCCCTGTGGTTAAAGCACAGGAGGGGGAAAGAGACTAACTGAAAGTGCAGTGGGTGGAACCCACCAACCAGGAAGTGGATGTCTTCAGGAGGAAGACTGGGAGTGTTACTTCTGTAAAACTTCACAGTTTTGGAAACCCTGTGGGCCAGTTCTGTCCTCTCTCGTTGCTGTCAAGTCAGCTGACCCTCCAGCAGGTTTTCAGAGGCTGGAAATTGCATGGGAGGCGAGATTGCTTATATTTTCCCCATAGAGCAGCTGGGGGATTCGAACTGCCTGCCTTTGGATTGGCACTGCAACTCCTTACCCACTAGGCCACCAGAGGTCCCTTTCTGCCCTAGAGGACAATTATAATACAGAATAAACTCAACAGCAAAGGTGTATTTTTTCATTTTGTTCAGTCAATCATTTAAAAGGAAAAGATGAAACAAACCAGTTGTCATGGAGTAGATTCCAACTCCTGGGGCCCTGTGGCTGTTAGAGGTTTGTGCTCCACTGGATTTTCAATGGCTGATTTTTCAGAAGTGGCTCACCAGCCTTCTGAGGTGCCTCTGGGTGGACTTAAGCCTCCAAATTTCGATGAGTAGCTGAGCGTGTTAATGGTTTTCGCGCTCCAGGGACTCCATTCAATCCTTACAATGACCCTATTAGGAAAGTATGCGATGATGATTAGTTTTATTTTACTAGAACAGAAATGGCTTGCCTTCATCAACCAGCTCTGGGCCCCTTGCACAGAGCCTGGCTCTGTGCTGGGTACTGGACATAGAGAGATGGTTGGTCCTAAAATCAGAGTCAGTTCTTTAAACTGCTCCCCCTCATACAGGGTTTCTCAAGCATAGCACTACTGACATTTGGGGCTGACAAACAGGTTTGTTCCAGAGAGGGTGAAACCAGGCTTCTCCTTGGAGGCGAGGATTCTAAAGCTCCGTCTAACATACTTTGGACATGTTGCAAGGTGGGACCAGTCCTTGGAGAGGGACGCCCTGCTGGGGAGGGTGGAAGGACAGTGCAAAAGAGGAAGACCTAGATAAGATGAATGGACTTACTGCCTGGGGTACTGAGGGTAGGTGTGTTAGAGACAGTGAGGTTGGCTCAAGATAGAGCAGGGTTCAGAGCTGTTGTACATAGGATTGCTGTGAGTCACAACACCACATAACACCAACAACAACAACAATCATTCTTTGTCAGGGAGCTCTGGGGGTATAGTCTGTACAGAGTTGTGCTGCTAACGCATCGGCCATGTTTCTCTCGTGGTTCGAATTCAGGAGGGAGCTCTGAGGGAGAAAGCTGGGCAATCTCTTTCCTCCTGTTAGATTGACAGCCTCAGAAACCCAACAGAGGCTCAGCTATGTGTCAGTGATGACTTGAGGACAATGGGTTGAGTGCAATTCTTTTTTGTGGAGGGCTGTCCTGTGCCCTGAAGGATGTTTGGTGTCTTCCCCAAGGACAGAGTAGAGTTAGGCAAGGAGGGATCAGTGACCAGATTCTAGACCAATCTGGAGTGTTACTGTGTGCCGTTGAGTAGGAACAGACTCGTAGCTGACCGTCCACTGAGTGTTCAGAGGCAGTAAATCACACGGAGAAGCTGCTGGGTTCCTTTCCCTTCGGTGTCGTCCCTGTGGGAGACATGGAGGTGATCATAAACTTGCAGCTCATGCCCTGATGACTTTGGTTGACTCTCACAGTGGTCTAGATGTCAGTAGCACTCTGTCTTAATTCTTGCTCTTTCCGCCTCTTTTCATTGGGGTGAAGTCAGAACTGACTCACAGCTGACTCTCCATTGGGTTCAGCGGCTGTAAATGGAATGGGAGGAAAGGTCCCATCTTTCTCCCTTGGAGCTGCTGGTAGATCCAAACCACTGAGGAATGGGGTTTTGGGGTTAGCAGCACAACTCCCTATGGACTAGGTCACCAGGTTCCCGTTTCAATTATCCAGTGTTTCTTTAAGAGACATGACAAAAGGGATCTCTGGTGGCCTAGTAGCAAGAAGCTGCGCTGCAATCCCAAAGGTGCATGGTTCGAATCCATCAGGCGCTGTACTGGAGAAGGAGGGGCAATCTCTTGTACCAGTGAGATCCTATTGTACACACAAGGAAAAAGTAGGGGGGAACAAATGAAGTTATTCCCTCATAGTGTAGGAGGCTTAATTCAGATGACCAGCTCTAGTGGAATTCATTCTCTGTCAGTTTGGAAGAAGACTCTCACTTCCTTCACTCAGTATCTGCAGGCCTGGCATTCCCTGGAGATTTTCACATAGCTTGGCCTTCTCATGTCAAGGATCTTCTCAAACAACACACTCCATTCCTAATCTTCTTCCTTGGTGATGCGAAGGTTCTCTTCTCCTCTGGCCTCTCTCTTCTCCTCTCTCATAAAATAACAGGTGACGCAAACCACGGCTCAGGGAAAGTCCCCTTTCATCAGATCAGGGCTCTTACCTAATTAAGGATGGTGAATCCTATCCAGATGCCCTAACTGCTTAGCGGATCACGTCTCCCATCGCATCACGGGGAACGACTCCATCATTTATATAACTGCCTTTCAGTCTGTGCACTAACATCATAGAAGTTTAGATTTATAACGCAAAATGTCCTGAGAATTACAGCCTAGCCTCGTTGATGATGCGTATTTTTGGAGACACAGTTCAATCCATGACACACACATCCCTCTCCTCAGTTGTGACAACGAAAAATGTCTCCAAACCATTTCCAAATGTCCTTTTGGGGTCACGTTGCCATCATTTGAGAAGTACTACTCTTGTATCACCAACATCTAGACAAGTGCCCCATCATGAGCGCACATTTAATACATTTTCACAAACTGAACATAGCCAGAATCCAGCTCAAGAACCAAAAGATCATCAATGCCCCAGAAGCCCCCTCATGTCCTTTGCAATCCCCACCCACTTCCCCCCAGGAGTAGCCACTACCGTGTTTTCTAACAGCTTAGATAGACCGAGTATCTTTCTCCTTTATTTAAACACTTTCATACATTATGCAGTCATTTGCATCTGCTTTCTTTTGTTCAATGTTATATTTGTGTGATTCATCCACATTGTTCTGTAAATTGTAGTGCCCATTCTTATCACTGTGTAGTATTCCACTTTGTGACTGTACCACAATTTAGCCATTTCTGTCAATGGGTAGTTCCCTAGTTGAGGCTATTTACATAGAATGCTGTGAACATTCTTCTAAGTGAATTACATTGGCAACTACCTCTTTTGGGTACATGACTGTTGCTGTTGTTGTTATGTGCCTTCAAATTACAACTGACCCATAACTGATCCTCCAGTTGGGAGGGGATTATCCATCCTCCTCTCACAGAGAGACTGGTGGATTAGAACTGTATGCCTTCAGGATTACAGTGCAGCTTCTTGCCTCTAAGTCACCAAAGCTGTCTGAATATGGGACTAGCAGTGGACTTGTTGGGCCAAATGGGTATGTGTATGGATGATGTCTGACTTTCCCAGGCAGGAGAATCAGCATCAACTCAGGGCAATTCCTGTGAGGAGGAGATCCATGCCCCTACCCTCCGATCTTTTTTTCCAATTCCACACTCTGCATTTCAGCTGGCTTTGTAATTCACTGCAGTGCCCTCACAAAACTCGCAGACTATACTCAGAGTTATTGCTTTATTAGGGGAGTTGTGTGTTGCTGTCGTGTACCGTTGAGTTAGAACTGACCCTGCAGTGGGTTTTCAGAGGCTGTAATTTGCCTGAGAAGAGATGACCCATCTTTCTCCCACAACACAGCTGGTGGATTCAAACATCGTGCTTTGGGGTTTGCAGTGCAGCTTCTTACTACGAAAGCCACCAGAGCTCTCGATTAGGCAAGGACCAGGTTATAATTCAAAGCCAAGAACAGTTCAAGACATGCTTTTATTTTATTTTTTATTTTTTTAAATCAAGACAGTTCCCTCAGCCACGCTATAAAGGCCTCTCTGTAGCCTTCAACCTCACAGCCTTCGCTTCTGCCCTGTTCAGGCAAGTGTTGCAAAGTTTATTTAATTCTGCCAATTAAGTGCCCAAAGGCACTGCGTTCTGCCCAGCAAGGTTCCCTGGAAGGTACTCAGTTTATTTGCTCTGTGGGTTAGCAAACCTACGTGTCTCCAGAGGTGTAGTTACACCAGCAGCAAACCTTCTGCTCAAAGGCACACAGCTTTCTCCTTCCATGACCTGGAAGCCCATTGCACAACCTAACCCAGCTTCTTCATTCTGCCTCTGTTGCCATTATTTCTTAATCGTCACAGCTGTCTCCTGAATCAAGGAGTTTCAGTGCAGGGAGCTGGGGTCCAAGACATGCACTCACTCCTTGGCTGTTTTTTTTTTTTGTTTTTTTTTTTTTTTTTTTTTTTTTTTTTTTTTTTTTTTTTTTTTTTTCTTTGTTTGTTTTTTTTTTTTTGTTACTAGTAACATTTCTCCCCTCCCCCTTTCCAGCTTCTGGGATGGCTCACCTTCTAGAGGGTTGACAAAACTGACTCATCCCCACAGTAGCATCCTGTACACTACAATGTTTGCCTGATTCCACCCCACGTGGGTGCCACATGTACTGTATTTATATTATTAGCATATGCTAGGTAATCCATTTGTGGGGTCACAGGCATCTCACATTTGCATCTTTGCATCGGCCTACCCAGTCACCTGGTGAGAGTAACACAGAGCCAGGGCTGGAAAGCCGCATTGAGTCATTTGAGGCACTG